GCCAAACTAACTACCGTTAACGTCCAAGCTGCCATACTTTAAACAATGTAATACTACAAATTTGGCGAGTTTTTGGTGGTTTTCATGTAGCCTTATCGTGGGATGTACAATGTATGTTGTCATAGTGTACATGTGTTATATATAACCACTTTAAATTTGTACAATGCACTAAATTTACCTTAATGCCTTGTGGGCCTTCATCTCCTTTGAATCCCATTAGCCCGGGTACGCCATCATCACCAGATGGGCCACGTGGACCTGATAACCCAGGCTTACCCTTTTGCAAAAAAAAAAAAGAAAATAACATTTTTATTGTGCCCTCATCAACAAATGGTAATTGAAGACAGCTACAATGTAGCTTCAAAAGAGTAGTGTATCTGCACTATAACACATCTGTGGACATTCATGTTTTAGAGGGTCACAGACCACAGGTAATCAAGATTGTCTTCAGCGACCATTTCTCTTCTGTATGTTTTAAAAATTTGTACATGAGGTTGTCAGCTGATTAGTACGTAATAAAGTATTACATTACATTACATTACATTACATTACATTACATTACAATACATTACATTACAATGAAGACACTGAAGACAAATGAGTTGCAAACATTACTAAAAATCAAATCTTGTTCAGAATTGAATAAAAAGCTAATATTCCAACAAATATCATCAAGGTAATTGTTTAAAATAATATAAACTATCCAAATAAATTGAATCAACGATAGATGTAATACTTATTAAGTTAACATAAATTTGTTATTAAATGAATAGAAGATAGGAGAGGTATCAACAGACCTTCCTACCTTGGGTCCTGCTGGTCCAGTAAAACCCGGGAAACCAGGCAGTCCAGGGGGACCTGTTGAGCCTTTTGTACCATTAGCACCAGGTTCTCCCGTGGGCCCCTGAAATAGGAGTAGTAGATAATGTAGCGCCCTCAATAATTGTATATATTGCCCTCTACAGTTCCATATAATAACACTTATTTGTGAGTGAAAAGA